TAGCTGGAACTACAGGCGCGCGCTACCACACCCGGCTAATTTTTTGATTTATTGTAGAGATGATGTCTCGCTAGATTGCCCAGGCGGGTCTCGAATCCGTGGGCTCAGGCAATCCACTCACCTCAGCTTCCTAAAGCGCGGGATTACAGGCTGAGCCACCAAGCCCAGCTATTTATTCTTACATGTTTAAACTTCAGTCACCTTGATGCAATAGACCTATCAAGACACTTTTTCCACTGTTCAGAACAGTTTTTGACTTCGTCAGTTTTGATGCCTTTCAGTGTTTCTGCTGTTTTTGTTTTACCACTTCCACATCAGCAAAACGTTTCCCTTTGAGGACTATTTTCACCTGGGGAAACAAAAAAAAAGTCATTCAGGGCAAGGTTGGGTGAATAAATAGGGAGGGTGGGTCACAGGGTCATTCCGTTTTTGGTCAAAAACTGCTGAACACTCAGCACAGTGTGGGCAGGTACACTCATAAATCACCCATCATGAAATGGGCAGACATGTTGAAAGAATCTCCAAAAAAAATTCACTGAAGCCAAACGCAGCCTTTCACAACAATACTAGCTGGTCCACTGATGCCAATGGGTTGCCAAAACACTTACCTGGTGGGGGAAGCCTGTACTTCAAGGGGCCCATCCTCCAAAACATAATTCTGTTTGTTTTGGGGGGAAGGGTCCCACTCGTACTAAGCAAAGGACTGCCTTATGGGGAGTCCAAGGTATCAGCCCAGTCAATCCAGGCTCCTGTCTGCGTACCCTGTCCCCCATCTCTGAGCTCTGAGGTTCTCTAGGGCCTGTCCACTTTTAGCTGGCGGCAATGGGGAGGTGACAGCAGATCCTAGTACTGTGGACACCGTGTCACCAGGAACTGGACTTAGTGTACACAGGGTACTGGATGGGAAACATGTACATTCGAGCCCTGGGGCCATGTCAGCAAGTTGTTTCTATAAAGGACGGGATTGTGAGTAGTTTAGTCTTTGGGGGCCATACTGTCTCTGCCACAGTTACTCACCTGCACCACTGTAGTGCAAAAGTAGCCCCAGATGATTATAAATGAATGAATATGACTACTCTCCCCTGAGGTCACGTGACTTTTCACTAGAAATAGCCCGGGGTTCCTCTGCCCAAGCTAGGCCATGACTGTACAGGAGGGGAAAGAATTGTAGGGCATCTCCCACCTCCCTGAGTGGAGGCCAGCCTGGCCACAAAAAGGAAGCTCAGCCTAGGAGCAGCAGTAGCCCTCTGGTCAGCTCCAGAGTCAGCTTTGTCATGACCCTGGTTGAAGTCTGGGTGGAGTCTGACCCTGACCCCAAGCCTACAGCCATCAGAGCCCGGCAGCTGCTGGAGGGAATAAGAACTGAAACGAGCTGACATGACCCTGGAAGCCATGTGTAGACTGGACGCCATGTGTAGATGTCCAGGAGAGGGCATCTGGGTGGCCACAGGGAGCCTTAGAGCCTAGGTCTGTGTTCCAACCCCGGGCATCTCCTGACAACTGACCACAGCTACCTCCCAGGCAGTAGTGAGGTCAGATAGGAGAAAGGACTTGCAAACGCTTGGCCCATGTCTCAGCATTGTGGGGGACATAGCCTCTAACAGAGGACCAAAGCTGCGGGGGTAAGGGGAGATGCAGGGAGTGTAGGAGGGCTCTGGGAAGGGAGCCCAGGTTGGTGAGGGCGCTTGCCAAAATTTCCAGTAGAAACTGGTATCTTCCCACAGATGCGATGAGAACTGCTTGAGCTGTGAAGGCTCCAGCAGGAACTGCAGCAGGTGCAAGACGGGCTTCACACAGCTGGGGACCTCCTGCATCACCAACCACACGTGCAGCAACGGTGAGCACCAGCAGGGGGCCGGCCCTGAGCACTGGGGCTGCCCGTGAGCTCGGCCCTACGGCCTCTGTTGGAATAGAAAAGAAAATGTAGGCATGGCGACTTCCAAACAGGCTCACTTGCCCTGATTGAATCGACCATCTAGGAGTCCTCTAGCAGATTTGGAAGGCAACTACCTCTCTCCCACCTTCCCTATAGGCCTCTCACACGTTAACCAGAGAGGCATCCGGCCACTGCTGCTCTGTTTACTGAGTGACTCTTAAAGATGATTTTGTTCTTGTACTGTTCCCATTCCCATGCCTTGGTGTGGTAATTTCCTGTTGGAAAGGCCCAATCTTGAGGGTCAAAACCAGGAGGCCTGAAGAGTCTCAGCCTCAGAACCAGGAGGATAGAACTCAGAGTCGAGGCCCACTCTGAGCAGCAGGAATCCCAGCTGCCATAGCAAAGTTCTATAAACAGGTGCAGAGAGCCCTGGCTCTCCAGGTGGATGGGGGAGGGGAGAGGAAGAACAAGGACAGGTTGTAAAAACAGAAACTTAGAAGGGAACTGGGCCAGGTTTGGTGGCTCAGCCTGTAATCCCAGCACTTTGGGAGGCCAGGCGAATGGATTGCCTGAGCCTGTGAGTTCAAGACCAGCCCAGGCAAATTGGCGAGACCTTGTCTCTACAATAAAAAAAAAAACAAGAAAAAGAATTAGCCTTGCGTGGTAGTGCACACCTGTAGTTCCAGCTACTTGGAAGGCTGAGGTGGAAAGATCGCCGGAGCCCAGCAGGTCGATGTTGGGGTGGCTGTGAATGTGCCACTGAACTCCAGCCTAGGCGACAGAGTGAGATTTCAACTCAAAAAAAAAGGGGGTGGGGAGAGGGGACCAAAGACAGTGCCAAGTTGGGAATTCCAGGCAAGAGGAAGGGTTGGCTGAGGACTCTAGCTCAGAGGCCTGGTGCAGGAGCCATTAGCAGATGCTCCGTGCAGAGAAAGAGGACTCTGTGGCCCATCAAGTAGCACAGAGGGGCCATATGGGGCCAGCTCTGGGCACCAAGTCCTAGCATGCAGGAGCAGGGAGCTGTCAGCTCCTTAGGGTCCAGGAGTCAAGGCAAGTAGTCATCTGGGCATGAAGCTGGCAGAGCACAGAGCCCACACCGAGAGCACTGGGATGCCTCCTTGCCTTGCTGTTGGTGATTTTTTTGGTTTGTAGAATTGTGTCCCTTCAAAGGCCTGGAATCTCCTTCTTTAGGAAGTCCCTGCTTGGATTATGTATCCAGCCCAAAAAAGTGAGGTTGCCATAGGAGGGCCTCCCAAGCCCACTACTGACATTGTGTCCTCAAAAGCCACAGGCTCCTCCTGTCCCTGCAGCCTTTCCTCGCTGAATCCTATCTGTCTGCCTCAATGGCTCTCTTCCTCTCATCTCTACTCCTTCCCGTCTGCGGTGTCCCCCGAACCCTGGCAGCAACCTCCATCCCCGCCCCCTCCAGCTCTGCACTCCTGCATCCCAGAGAGTCTTCTTCCTAAGCCCCTCACCCACACAGTTGTTCAGAAAGAGAGGAGCACGTGTGCCCAAGGGCCCCCCTGGCCCAGTCATGGCATTCTCCTAGACCAACCCCACCCACATCCATCCCCCTTGTCACTTAAAATCAGTAAGAGCCTGTGTGCACCAGAGGCCATTTCTGCCATACTGGTCCTGCGCAGACGGGAGAAAGTCTTCAAGGCTGTCCTGGGGCCACCCACTTCCCTCTGCATCCCCCTTGCTCAGTGCACTGTTGGTGCCCAGCAGACGTGGAGTAATGGAAACAATCTCACCAGGCCCCAAAAGCTAACCTTTCCCTCCTTTTTCTGTCCTGGCGCGGGGCCACAGCTGACGAGACGTTCTGTGAGATGGTGAAGTCCAACCGGCTCTGCGAACGGAAGCTCTTCATTCAGTTCTGCTGCCGCACGTGCCTCCTGGCCGGGTAGGAACACCCAGCTTCCCTCAGAAGGCAGGGCCCTTCTGTCCGTGCATCCGTCCGTCTACCTTCCTCCAGACTGTCAGCCAGAGCCTGTTTGGAGGGCGGTACCCTGCATCTGACAGCTTTATCTCCCCAGGAGCAAGGTCCTCCTGCAGCATCTCTGGGCACCAAAACCAGGGGGGTGGTGACCCTTCAGGAGATGTTCCAAAATGGTGACATCCTCTCAAACGCTGCTTGCTGGCTACCGTCTTCTGACAAACTCTCAACAGGAACAAAATGAATTCTGGGAATCCACAGCTCCAGCTTCGGAGCAGCTTCTGGGACTATAAGTTTACTGAATCTTCAAGACCAAAGCAGAAAGGAAAGACGCTTGGCTTACCCATCACTCTTCTCCCGTGCCGTGCTTTTGTGCAGCCCGTCGTCAATCTCCCTATCCCGGCCGGCGACCTCTGGGCCATTCTCACACGTGACAAAGGGCCAGCAGTTCACCCGCTCATCGCCTGCCATGGAGTAGTCTGGGGGACATTTTGGTCAGGCTGTAAATAAAGTAGATTTGAGGGCATAAGATGTATGAGCACTGGGATGGAGTATCTGTTTCTACATAGTCAGCTACTTCTGAAACTGCAGCAAGTGGCTTAGAAAGTCACATTCCAAACCCAGAACAGAAGATTATTTCTCTACAGCATTCTCCTTGTGGTGAGCCAAGCTCTCCTTGTTACTGTGTTCTACCTGTGTCTCCAGGGGTCTCATGGGCCTGAACGACCACCTCTACCTGAAGCAGAACCTTTTGAGGAGGGCCTGCGGGAGGCATTCCAGGGCCAGCCCAAAGGGACCCGAGGGCTGAGCAATTCCTCTTAGCAAAATGTAAACCCAGCCCATGAGTTGTTAATTATCCACCACTTCCCGTTTTATGGAATTGCTTTTAAAATACATTTGGCCTCTGTCCTTCCGGAGACTTGTTCTTAAGGTGTATGCTCCTGTGTCTGTGTGTATTATGAGCCTACATGACACAGTTGGATTTATTCTGCCAAACCTGTGTAGGCATTTTATAAGCTACATGTTCTAATTTTTACCAATGTTAATTATTTTGACAAATATTTCGTATATTTTCATTGAAATGCACAGATCTGCTTAATCAATTCCCTTTAATATGGGAGTAACATTTGCCTTAAATTTTTTCAACCTCATCTTTCTCCATATTGTCCTGCTCCCTCTCTGAGTCCAGTGCATCTGCCTTGTCACCTGTGAGCTGGAGAGAAGCCAGCAGTTTATTGAATCCACAACTCCAAAAGAGAAATCAACGAAGCAAATACAATGTTAACCCAAAATTAATAAAAGAGTTAACATCCCATGGCACAGGAGCCTGTATTTCTTTCTAAGCCACAAAAAAATTAAACATGAGTGCTGAACCAAGTGTGAAATGGACCTTGCTTTGTTTGTGGTTTCAGGATCTGTGACATCGTTACATGGAAAGTCTTCTCAGGGCTTTAGTATATGTTGATGTAAGGAAGTAATGGAGGAAATCCCAGATTCCAACCCCAATCCTTTGGCAAAAAGACCCTCTTCAGGCTCCAAAACCCTGACTGGGTGGAGGGTACAGAGCCTCCCCAGGCACAGGGACACCTTCCATCTGTCAAAGGGGAACCCTCCATAGCCCAAACTGCCAGGTTCTTCACCTGGAGCAGCCAGTCCTGGTTTCATTAGATTACAGCTTGTCCTTTGCACAGTGACTGAAATCCCAGCTTTATGTACTGCGTGGGATTTTCCTGGGGGCCTCTCTGGGTCAGAAGCTCATACTTCTAGGAACCCTTTGGTTGAGAGTAAAGGAAATGTACCCACTAGAACTGACTTAGGAAAAAACCAATGAGGGTGATGGGCATTGTTCTGGGAATCCAGGGTTGATTAAGAATTTGGGGAAGGCTGCAGTGAGTCCTTGGGAAGGCCCCCATTGGGACTGGTATTAAATGTCACCTGGACCCTCTGTGCATTGCAGCAGCTCCCTTCTCTCTCCATAACCTGCTTGTCCCAGTTGATGGGACAGATGACAAGATCACCATCTCTCAAGTGAAACTTTTACAGCTCCAACTCCTTGAACAAACCCTCTAGGTCTGTTGGTTGGCTCTGCTTTCCCCAGGGACAGGACTTGCAGCCTGCCTTGCATGGGTACATACTCAGTACCACGAGCTGAACTGTGACCACAGGGACAGGCTTACGCAGGAGCATGTGACAACAGGGAGCTCTGTGCCAGAGACAGCAGCGACATGCAGCTCTCAGGAAGTGGGACAGGTCATACAACACAGCAGCTGCCGACCTCAAACGTGAATTGACCACAGTTATCAATATGAGCAAGGAAGGAATGAGTCTGTTCAGCATACTGTAGCCAAGACTGAGCGGAATATTGATTAGGACTCAACCTCCACCATGAGACTGACACTAAATTAAAAACAGCAACTTGTTAAGTACCCCTGGTGCAGGACACCCTTTGAGCCCTCAGAGTCCGGACATCAATAAAGCCAAGCTCTTTGCCTATTGAGTGCTTACAGTCTTAACATGTTTGGGGCTGAATCAAAAATAAACTTCCTCTGTGTCCCAGAGGACACCAATTATAGGAAGCCAGCCAGACAGCCCCTACCAGTGGGCCAGCCCGTCCTGGGGCTGATGAGCGGGGTGAGGAGAGGCTGTTCACACAGTCCTGACAACTGAACACCACCTTGTTCAATGGGACTGAACACACATCACACCTGTTCACAGACGGGGCAGCCTTAAGGATAAGATTGTTTGGTTTCGGTTGGAATGGGATATTTAGGGATTTAAGTGACAGGATCATCAGCTATCTCCTCTAAATCTGTCATTTCACAGACAAGGACACTGAGGCCCACAGAGGTAAAGTGACTTGCCTTGGGCCACACACTGGCAAGGTTGCTCCTTTCCCTGTGCCCAGGGAGGCTGGCTGGCTGCAGGGGGGCGGGGGAGATGTCATTCTGCATCTACCCAAATGCAGCCATTATGCATTTGTTTTTAACTAGATTTATTTCCAAGAAGAGATGTTTTTCTGACTTTATCCTCGAGCTATTTGGCATCTCACAGTGGCCCCATGTGCACATCCCTCTCTCTCCCAGACCACTGCTGACTTTATATCTTATAACTCTTCAAAGTGCTGGAGAGAACTGCACACTTTACAAAAGAAATGCCTATGATGGGGGGAGGGTGGACAGGGCATTAACAAAATAAAAGGGTGGTTGGGCATGGTGGCTCACACCTGTAGTCCCAGCTCTTTAGGAGGCTGAGGCAGGAGGATTGCTTGAGCCCAGGAGTTGAAGACCAGCTTGGGCAATATAGTGAGACCACATCTCATAGATAGATAGATAGATAGATAGATAGATAGATAGATAGATAGATAAAATCAGCGGGGCATGGTGGCATGCACCTGTATTCCTAACTACTAGGGAGGCTGAGGAAGGAGGATCACTTGAGCCCAGGAGTTCAAGGCTGCAGTGAGCTGTGATCATGCCACAGCACTCCAGTCTGGGTTACAGAGTGAGACCCTGACTCAAAAAATAAAAAAGCAGCTGGGCACAATGGCTCATGCTTGTAATTCCAGCACTTTGGGAAGCAGAGGCAAGAGAACTGCCTGAGCCCACAGGTTTGAGATCAGCCTGGGCAACATGGCAAGACCTCGTATCTATAATAAATCAAAAAATTATCCAGGCATGGTGGCGCACACCTGTAGTTCCAGCTACTTGGAAGGCTGAAGCAGAAGGATCACCTGAACCCAGCAGGTCAACGCTGCGGTGGCCGTGAATGTGCCACTGTACTTCAACCTGGGCAACAGAGTGAGACTCTGACTTAAAAAATAAAATTAAAATTAAAAAACAGGCTGGCCATGGTGGCTCATGCCTATAATCCCAGCACTTTGAGAGGTCGAGGTAAGAGGATTGCCTGAGCCCACAGGTTTGAGACCAAGCTGGGCAACTTGGCGAGACCTCATCTCTACAATAAATTAAAAAATTAGCCAGGTGTGGTGACATGTGTCTGCAATTCCAGCTACTTGGAAGGCTGAGGCATAACGATTGCCTGAGCCCAGCAGGTCTAGGCTGCAATGGCAGTGAGCCTCCAACTCAAAAAAAAAAAAAAGCAGCATGGTCAAAATGTGTCCAGGAGTGGAGTATCCTTGAACTTGCATTTGCAACATTGATAACATGACTGGAGGCAGCCTTTTGCCTAAAAGCATGGAGTCTGTTGGGGCCACTGAGAGCAGGTGAGGGGCGGAGGTTCACATCAGAGGATAGAAAGGGAAGGAGGCAGAGGAGTCATGTACAAAAGGAGGACATTTCTATAAGGACAAGCAGGGATGGTGGGAAGTAATACACCAAGGCCATTCTCTAGCATCTTAAGGCTCTGCCCAGCCAGTGGGAGGCTACTGGGTACTGGCTGGGGGAGGAGATTGCTCCTGGCCCTGGCATTCACTGCTGCTTTCCTCCCATGAACCCAGGCTTTATCCTTCCTGGTTCGTTGTCTAAGGCCTCTCTTGACACCCCAGGCTCTGTGGCTTGTTTATGCAGAGAACTGCAGAGAACAGCACCTTTAGGTGTTGAGCACTGAGCACTTCAGATGCTGGGGTTCAGTCCTACCACCCTCACCACTATGGACCAGCCACACTAAGGGTGACCAGATACCTCTTAGCCTCCCAGTTAAGCCAGCAGGACCAAAGTGCCCAAAGCAGAGAACATCTTGTTGCCAAAAATAGTAGCTCTCAATCAGGGGTGATTTCTGTTTTGCAGGAGACATTTGGCAATGCCTGGAGATGTTTTAGGTGTCACAACTGGTGGGTAGCAGCCAGGGATGCTGCTAAACAGCCTGCAGTGTACAGGACAGTTCTCACTAAAAAAATTATCCAGCCCTAAATGTCAATAGTGCCGAGGTTGAGAAACACTGGCCAAAAGAAACAATAAAAAAGAAAATTCTGTTTGTAACTTAATAGAGATACCTTAAAATAAATAAAACAGCCTATGATTTGGCTTCTGTCCCTGCTCCTGTGCTGAAGCAAGGGAAACCTGTATGACTTCCCTTTTTAAAATAAAGACATACCACCACCACCACCCCTACCCACACACACACACTTTTTTTAAGGCAGTGAGGGCCAAGCAAAACCAGCTCTCTGGCCTAAGGACTCCACCTGGTGGTCCTCTGTGGGATTAAATGAGGTTTGGATTTTGTTTAACTTTTTAGTTTGAAATAATCAATCAATAAATAAGGGAATTTCACAAAATTTCTGGATATAATGCCAATATACAAAAATTGACTATTTCAATGTACTAGAAACTAATGGTTAGAAAATGGAATTTTTGAACAAAAGATACTAGTCACAATAGCATTAAAAACTATCAAACATTTAGGCTTAATCTAGTAAAAGATATATAAGACCACTACACAAAAACTGTAAAACACTACTGGAATTAAAGAAGACCTCAATAAATGTAGGGTTATACCATGCCCATGGGTTGGGATACTCAATATTGTAAAGATATCAAATCCCTCCAAATTCATCTACAGATCCAATACAATAAAATCAAACCATGAGTTATTTTTCAGATACAAGACATATCTAAAATTTACATTATGCAGAGGATAGGAATAACAAAATAATCTGAGAAAAATGTGAGCCTTTTGGGGGCCAAATATAAAATATTTTCATAAAGCTTGTATTATAATGACAGTATGATATTGAACAAGGGTAGCCAAAAAACTCATGGAAAAGAATAGCTAGTCAAGAAGCAGAACTTCACATATTAGGACACTTGACTTATGACAAAAATAGCACGGCAAAGCAGTAAGGAAAAGATGGTCTTTTCAATAAATGGTGCTGGATCAATTGACTATCCATATGAGGGAAAAAATATATCTTTTTTTTTTAGTTGGGGTCTCATTCTGTTGCCCGGGTTGGAGTGCAGTGGCACACTTTTGGCCACCGCAGCCTCAACCTGCTAGGCTCAGGCAATCCTTCCCCTTCAGCCTTCCAAGTAGCTGGAACTATAGGAGCGTGCCACCACGCCCGGTTAGTTTTTTGATTTATTGTGGAATTGAGGTCTCACCAAGTTGCCCAGGCTGGTCTTGAACCCGTGAGCTCATGCAATCCTCTCGCTTCCGCCTCCTAAAGTGCTGGGATTACAGGGGTAAGCCACTGCACCTGGCAAAATATAGCTTGATCCACACCTTGAACTATACACAAAAATCTATCCCAGAGAGACTGCAGATCTAAATGTGAAAGGTGAAACAATAAAACTTTCAGAGAAAGTATAATTTTGGAGTGGGCAGATTGTTCAAAGAGCACTCAAAAAGCATTAACCCTAGAGAGTAAAGCTTATAAATTGGACTATACTAAAATTAAGAACATCTGTTCATCAAAAGACAGCATTAAGAGAATGAAAATCCAAAGAAGGGGAAGATATTCACTGTACACATATCTCACAAGAACTCATATCCAAAAAATATAAAGAGCTCCTAAAAATCTTTTTTTTAAAAAAAGGCAGCCCAATTTTTTTAAATGAGCAAAACAATCCAAACAGGCACTTTATCAAAGAGGTTATCCAAGTGGATGTAAGTATGTTGAAGAAAAGAAGCGGGGCCCAGTGGCTCATGCCTATAATCCCAGCATTTTGGGAGGCTGAGGTGAGAGGATTGCCTGAGCCCAGGGATTCAAGACCAACCTGGGCAACTTGGTGAGACCTCTTCTCTACAATAAATCAAGAAAAATTAGGGCATGGTTGCGTGCACCTGTAGTTCCAGTTACTTGGAAGGCTGAGGCCATAGGATCTCCTGAGCCCACCAGGTTGATGCTGCAGTGGCCGTGAGCATGCCACTGCACTCCAGTCTGGGTAACAGACTCAAAATAAATAAAAGTTCTCAACTGTGTTAGTAATCAGGGAAATACAATTAAAACCACACACAATGTGATACCACTATCAACCTACCAGAATGGTTAAAATTTAAAAGACAGACAATATTAAATGATAGCCAGAAGCTTAAATTGGTACAACCAGCCAGGCGTGGTGGCTAACACCTATAATCCCGGCACTTTGGGAGGCTGAAGTGAGAGGATTGCTTGAGCCTATAAATTCAAGACCAGCCTGGGCAACATGGCAAGACCTCATCTCTACAAAAATATGTTTTTTAAAAAATAAGTTTGGCATAGTAGCGCACACCTGTAGTCCTAGGTACTTGGGAGGCTAAGGCAGAAGGATCACCTTGAGTCCAGGAGGTTGGAGCTGCAGTGAGCTGTGATCATGTCACTGTGCTCCAGCCTGGATGACAGAGTGAAAAATAATAAATAAATACATTGGCACAACTACTTGGGAAATTAGTAGTATCTACTGCCGCTGAACGCAAGTAACCCCTATGACACAGCAATTCCATCCCTAGGAATATTAGTATATATGTTCACTTAGACATACGTATTATAGTGTTCATAGGTATACTATTTATAATAGCCCCAAATCAGAAGTTACCCATATGCTCATCAACAAAAGAATGGATAAATTATGGAATATGCACACAATGAAATACTATGTCACAGCAAGAATAAATGAACTACACCTATACACAAAGATAATGATAAGCAAAAGATACATAAGGTACAACCTCATTTCCATAAATACAAAACTAGGAAAAACAAATCTATACAAAATGTCAGGATAGGGTTACCCTTGGAGCCAGGCTAGTGACCGACGGAGGACAGGAGGGAGACTTCTGGAATGTGGCATTGTCCTGTTATGAGGATGCCAGTTGCTTGAGCATGTTCAGTTTGCACTCTTCTGTATGTATATCATACTTTAATAAAAGTTCAAAAATAATCAACTCTAGGTGGGTTGTAGAGCTAAATGTGAAATATAAAATAATTCTCTGGTAGATAACATAAGAAGATATGTGCAGGATAAAGGAAGATTTCTGAAACAAGGTATGCACACATACAGAACACACTAACCCTAAAGAAAATGATGAATTGAACTACATAAAAATTAGAAACTTCTAGGCCGGGATTGGTGGCTCAACCTATAATCCCAGCACTTTGGGAGGCTGAGGCAAGTGGATGGTCTGAGCCCGTGAGTTTGAAACCAGTCCAGGCAACTGGGGAGACCTCGTCTCTACAATAAATCAAAAATTAGCCAGGCGTGGTAGTGCATGCCTGTAGTTCCAGCTACTTGGAAGGCTGAGGCAGAAGGATCTTTGGAGCCCCGCAGGTCGACGCTGGGATGGCCATAAGTGTGCCACTGCACTCCAGCCAACAGAGTGAGACTCCAACTCAAAAAAAAAAACTAGAAACTTCTAATCATCAAACAACACCTGTAAGAGTGAAAAGGCAGGCCAGGCGTAGTGGCTCACGCCTATAATCCCAGCACTTTGGGAGGCTGAGGTGAGAGGATTGCCTGAGCCCATGGGTTCGAGACCAGCCTGGGCAACTTGGTGAGTCCTCATCTCTACAATAAATCAAAAAATTAGCTGGGCATGGTGGTGCATGCCTGTAGTTTCAGCTGCTTGGAAGGCTGAGATGGAAGGATCGCCTGAGCCCAGCAGGTCAAGGCTGCGGTGGCCAGGAGCGTGCCACTGCCCTTCAGCCTGGGTGATAGAGTGAGACTACAACTCAAAAAAAAAGAAAAAAGAAAAAGGAAAGTCAAGCCACCACGTTCATATCCAGAATATAAAAAGAAATTCTACAAATCAATAAGAAAATAGGCAGACAATCCAATAGGAAAAAAGAAAGGCAAGAGACTTGAATGGGTGCTTCACAAAGGAAGATTTCATAATGTACAATATACACACGAGAAGGTTCTCAGTTTCATTAGTTATTAGAGAAAAGCAAATCAAAGCAATAGTGCAATACCACTACGCACCCATCAGAATCACTAAAATTATAGACAATGTCAATGAGGCTGAAGCTGGAAGACATGAAAACTCTTACACACCGCTTGAGTGTGCATATTATTTCAGCCTTTTAGCAAAGCATAGGCATTACCTATGAATGACACCATATCGTGTGTCCCAACAACTCCTTTCCAGGAGAAAGTCATGCACATGTGCATCAGACCCATGCACAAGAACAGTCATAGCCTCATTATTCAGAATAGCCCCAAACTGGAAACAGTACTGCTGTCCATCAACAGCAGAATGAATAAGATACACAATGGAATTTTCTACAGCTGTGAAAGCAAACAAACCATCGCTGCATGCAAGCTGGATGGACTCCAGGCATAATATAGACTCAAAGAAACAGACAAAGAAGCATACTGCACGATCCTAGTTATACCATATGCCAGCAAAACTAATCTGTGGTGTTGGGTTTGCGGCTGCCTTTTGGGGAGAGAGGGAGGCTTTCAGAATAGTGTTGTTTTGGGATCCCGGCGTTGGCTACCCAGGTGTGTTCACTTGGGCCATTCGTCACGTTGTAGACGTCAGATGTGCACATTTTTGTGTATCTCACACTTCATATAAATATGCAAACTTTAGAAGCCGCAAGCTTAACCGCAAACCACACGATTCCACACGTGCGGGCGAGGCAGCCTGCTCCAGCTGCTGATCTAGCCCCGATCCTCGGTCCCAGGGCTAGAGTCCAGACCCAGGACTTGAAGCTGAAGTCCCGGAAACTTCCTCCAGTCCTACGGTCCCAGCCTCTCCAGGGAGGAGGGATGACAGTCATAGCTTTCCCTCCCACCTCGAGGTGCACTGATATATGAGAAAGTTCTACTCGAGTGCTTCCACATTTTCCTTCATGTTTGAACATGTGTCGAGAATCGGGGGCTGTAAAGACCCCAGAGTCGCCCCAGAAAATAGCCCAGAACCGGACGCGTCCCCACTTCACGCGCCAGGACTTCGGGCAAGAACGACCCCGGGAGCTTGGCTCCTCGATTGCTTCGGCCTGGCTTCGAGCTATGCGCGCACGCGCCGGCTGCGATTGGTGCTGTCTGGCGGCGGGGCGCGGGGCACGTCGGGACGGCTCGCTGGCGGGAGGCGGCTGGCCGGCTGCGGCGCTGGGAAGCGGAAAGCAGCAGGATGGTTAAGCTGACGGCGGAGCTGATCGAGCAGGCGGCGCAGTATACTAACGCCGTGCGGGACCAGGAGCTGGACCTCCGTGGAGAAACAAGAGACAAATTCCAATAAGGGGCCACCTTACAATATGTTCAATCAGTATTTCTCAAAGAGTACTGCTCATAACTGTCACAACCAGAGAAGCCTAAGGTTATAGACCACTCCAAGGTAAGGTGGTATGCTGGGTAGACT